ACATTTGAATAATGTACAAGAAATCTATATGTACTACTATTTTGTGCATAACCAATGAACACACAATCAATTGTCTTAGGTCCAATCTTGACCTTCTTAGGAGGAGGCACCACAACTTTAGCAAGACACCCCCACATTCATAAGTATTTATATGAAGGTGTCCGACTTGTCCAAAGTTCATACGGAGTCTTATCCATATTCTTTTTTAACACTTTATTCAAAATGTAATTCGCAGAAAGAATAGCTTCTCCCCACATGTTCTGTGGTAATCCAGAACTAATCAACATAGCATTCATCATTTCTTTTAACGTTCGATTCTTACGCTCAGCAATTCCATTCTGCTGAGGTGAATAAGGTGCAGTAGTTTGGTGAATTATTCCATGTTTAGCACAAAATTCACCAAATGGTGATTCATATTCACCACCACGATCACTTCGTAGCACCTTTATTTTCTTGCTAAGTTGATTTTCAATTTCATTCTTATAAAGAATGAATTTATCGATAGCTTCGTCTTTACTTTTAAGCAAGTACACATAACAATATCTCGTGTTATCGTCGACGAAAGTAATAAAGTACTTATTGCCGCTTCTTGTTTGGACAAATTTCAAGTCACACACATCACTGTGGACTAGTCCCTATGGCTCGGTGCTTCTTTCAATACTATGAAACGAAGACCTAGTAAGCTTAGCCTCAACGCAGGTTTCACATTTATGATTTGAATCAATTTGAAACCTAGGCAAGTAGTTTAGTTTGCTTAGTCTACGTAATCCATTGTAATTTACGTGACCTAATCTACCATGCCACAGATTAGGAGACTCAAGCAAGTAAACAGAAGGAGTTTTCTCATTATTCATAACAGTTGGGGTTACAGCAATTACATTCAATTTAAACAGGCCATCAGTCACTCCTATTTTGGTAATCACCAGCTTATCCGCTTCAATGACCATGCGAAAACCATTCTTGCTCAGAAGAGACCCAGAGATCAGATTCTTGCGAATCTCTGGCACATACAACACATTAGTCAGAGTAAGCTCTCTGCCAAAGGTCATCTTCAGGATTACCTTGCCTTTGCCAAGCACTTCAGAAGTTGCAGAATTTCCCATGAACAACTTTTCACCATTTGTAATTGGTGTAAAAGTAGTGAACATGCTCTTGTTGGAGCAGACATGGCAAGTGGCCCCAGTGTCTAGCCACCACTCCTTAGGGGTAGACCCCACCAGATTAACCTCACTAATCACCGCCGTGAGGTTTAGGTCAGACATGTCATCTGAGAGATGATCTCTCTCATTTCCAACCATATTAGCCTGAGGACGCTGCTTGTTATCCCTCCGAGGCTGACGACAGTCTGCCGATCGATGCCCAATTTTATCACAATTGAAGCATTTTCCGTTGAACTGGAACTTGGGTTTCTTTCTTACTCCACCGGTAGGCTTCATCTGAGACCCTTTCTTGGTCTGCTTTTTATCTTTCCAATTTTCGTTTCCCTGTTTGGCTTTAAACGAATGACCTTTCTTGGTACCAGAACTCTAGCCGTGCTCTAGGACATTGCCCTTCTCAGAGTAAGAATTCCTTGACTTACGTTCAGCCCGTTTGTTATCCTCCTCAATGCGCAGCTTGATAATTAAATCCTCGAAAGATATCTCTTTCCTCTTATGCTACAAATAGCTTTTGAAAGTCTTCCACTGAGGAGGTATCTTGTGAATAGTAGTAGCCACCTGTAGAGATTCTGACATGATCAGACCCTCAGCATGCATTTCTTGCAAGAGCACTTGGAACTCTTGCACTTTGCTCACCACTGAACGTGAATCAACCATTTCGAAGTCCATGCACCGATTGGCTAAGAATTTCTTAGACCCAGCATCCTCGGTCTTGTACTTCTTTTCTAAGGACTCCCGAAGCTCCTTAGCAGATTTCTTTACCACATACACGTGATACAGAGAATTCTGTAGGCCATCCAAGACATAGTTGCGACACAAAAAATCAGCACTTTTTCATGCATCCCAAGCTGCACGCCTATGCATATCAGTGTCATTTTCAGCCACGACAAGGGCATCCTCGGTGAGGAAACGTGCAAGGCCCAAAGTGGTAAGATAAAAAATCATCTTATTCTGCCATGTCTTAAAATCAATACCAGCAAACTTATCCGGTCGAATTGCACGATTCACCGGAAATGGAGCCGAAAACGATGGCAAAGGTACCGAGGCCGCAACCCTAGGTACTGGCAAAGGTATTGTGCCAAACTGGATTGCCGAGGCCGCAGCCGTAGGCAAAGTGGGGTTCATTCCACAGAGGAATCCCGCCACCAATTGTCTCATCAACAGGAGGAATGCCAGTCGAGGTCTCCACAGGGTTCACAGCGATCCCAATAGTGTTGCTTCCATTGTTCACATTGTCATTTCCATGTGATGCCATTTAACCTTAGAACACGCAACAAACAATTTAGAATAACTATAGATTTGAGATCAAGTTATCTGTTTGAGAAAAATAAACTGCAGAACAGATTATTTTTGTCCAAATATCAACAACTTAACAATCATTTAAAATTGAATTAAAAATCATTACCTAATGACTGAAATTTAAATATTAAAGGAAAAATCAAGCAATAATGGGCAATTATTACCGATAATTAGAAAATAGTTACCAAATGATTTTAAAATTATGCAAACAAGTAATCATTACATTAATGAGGCAATCATTGACTATCATTATTAAATGATTTTAATATCATGCAAAACACCATATCTGAAAACCATGCAGAGGGAAGAGATAAAATCATGCAAATTATATACCAGACAATTATACATAATCCATGCAGAGACAAAAAAAAAAAATTGTATAAACCATGCAAAACCACTTAATTGTAGAACCAAAACCACGCAGGCATGAACTAAGAAACTTCCTGTAAACCAATTTTTTTTCCTTCTTTCGACCTTACTGATTTAAACCTAATAAATTTACTGCACATAATTAAATAGATAGATTGTCAGCCTTTTTTCCTAAAGGACAAATTAAGTAAACAGCAAACAACTGGAGGTGAAAAAAAAAAGACGACAGTAATCAACTGGAAAAAAAAAACCGATTCTCAAAATTTCCCGAAATGAGAATTCGATTTAAGCTTGTAGGAAAAAATTGGAGAATCAGAATAAATCAACCAAAATCGAAGGCCCGTGTTTACACGGTTTCCTTAAATCGAATTCGCCACCTCACCGGGGCGCAAGAGGTGTTAATCGGTGTTCGATTCCCAGGATACAATCGGTTGACGGTTCACGATGCACAACGTTACCGACCTATGAACTAGCTGTGTCTATCTCTCAAAGAATTTTAGCAAAGAAAAGAAAAAAACAAAAAAAAACCGGGGCTGCTGAAAATGGAGGAGGGAACTGAACTTTTTTTCTTTGTTGTGTTTTCTTTTTGTTGTCTTTCTAGCCGAGAGTGATCCTCTATTTATACCAATATAGGAGGAGTTTGCTCATAAATACATTGAATAGGGAGTTACAACATGGATGAATGAACAGGGTGAAACCGATATATTTCAAATGGGAAGAAACTGATGTTTTCATACGCATTCAACATGTATTCAAAATGATGAAACTGACAGCATTCAACATGCATTCAAATTGATGAAGCTGGTGTAGTGAACATTCAAAACGTAACTAACTTTTCATTCATCATTCAAAATATTCCAACATAATCATGCAAATAAGAACTCAAAATTCATAATGTCATAAGATAAATTTTTAGCATCTCTAAATACCTTAGCATCTACGTGTTAATGTGTTTGTGACGTTCACTAAAGATAAATTTTTCACATTATCATGAAAAAAATTTCCATTGCTATGTAGAAGATGAAAACAATAAATATGAACTGTACAATTCATTAAAACATTTAGCATTTATACAAAAATCTACCATATCAAACGAAGTGTTAAAATATAAAAACTTTTTTTAGAAAATTTCTTTATTATTTATAAATATAATATAAAATAAGATTTTTTTGGGACCCTCACCAAAGTAGAGCATTAGACGAACGCCCACCTGAGCCACCCCGACTTTCTTAAGGACCGACATTGAATATTTGTGTGTTGTTTATCAACTAAGATTTTTATTTGATCTTCGAATTTAGACCACCTTATCGAGATCCATAAAATATATAATTAGAAAATAATTCTTAAGAATAATATTATAAAAAATTCTGTGCCAAGGAAGCCTTCATATAATTTTCATATACAGATATACGTAAATAAAAATCGACTCTTATCCTTCTATATTCCACCAACTTCCCATTTTACTACCTATAATCATATCAAACCTCTTTATTGTACTCAATGAGGAAAACTCAATATTTCAAGCTACACATAATGTAAGCTATTTTATACTTAAATTGAACCCAGATAAAAAAAAAATAAAAAATTTGAAGTGAGCGCATTTAATATTTCTGATCTGGAAGAAAATCCGGGAGGTAGAGCTAAATACAAGGCATGTGAGGGAGATATGGGCGGCATGTTTCTTGTTTCATTCAGCACGTGACATTGCAATTGGACATTCATTGAACTGAAAATTCGAGATTCCATTTATGTATCGATTATGGGCCCGTTTGGTAGGGATTTTGAGAATTGATTTTTTGACCGTTAGAAGAAAAGTGGGATCCACATGTGAGAGAAAAAGTCAAAAATTACGGCTTGAATAGTAAAATAACGGTCAAAAAATCAATTTTTTGGGGCAAAAAATCCCTACCAAACAGGGCCAATAAATGAATATATATATATACACCCACACATTGGATAACGAGATTTTTCCCTTTTGCCTTATCTTTTAAATTATTTTTTTTTACTGTATGTGTACTTGGTATTTCTAAGGGAGAATTAATACGAAAATGACATGAATGCTTTTCTCAAGCGGAGAATTAGCTTTTCATTTAAAAAAAGAAAAAGAAAAATAGACTTATTGGGTTATGATGGTCCATATGTATACCATGTTCTCATTGAGTTTTGATTACGAAAATGAGTAATGTTCCATGTGAATTGATGTGTCCACCCCTTTATATGGCAGGAGACCTACTTCGAATAAAATATAATTTATTTGAAATGAATCATCCTCCATGTAAGGGGAGAGGACACCCGAACGAACATCATTTGATGTACAAGTAGCACTATACATACAAGGGTGGAGCCCCATTAGGTCCAGTGCGGGTTGAACTTTTGGGTTCCAGGAGGTCCAAATTTTTTTTTTTTTAAATTTTATTTAGCCTAGTTCAAGTCTCCAACCCAGATGAAAGCCCAATTGCCCACAGCTCCTAACTCCTTTACTGACCCAGACCCGGAATCATAATTCAATTAACCCGTTTTCATTTAATCAAGCTCTTCATTTCAACTGAAATCAAAACCAAACCCTTGCTCCCTCACGTGAATCGCATCTCTCTCGACTCTTGCTTCCCTTCTTGCGACTCCTAGTTGCCGACTTCCAATTCCAATCCACTGTCCGCCGGCATCTCCTAGATTAGGGGCTCTAATCTCTGGCCCCTGACTCTAGTATCCCCAATCCCCCACTGCAACTTTAACCTCCAACCGTCGCCACCTGAACTGCAGAACCGTTCAACCGGCTATTGTTTCTTCCAGTTCCAGCCAACCCAACGAAAGAAGAAGAAGCCAGAGCCCAGAAAAATTGAAGAAGGTGATTTTGATTTCAATTTCAATTTCAGCCACTCCAATTTCAATTTTTTCAGCAGTAGAATAACGATTTTGATTTTTTCCCTTATTTGTTGTTATTTTGATTTGTTATTTGTTGTTATTTTGATTTGTGTGTGTGTGTGTATTTATTTATTTATCTTTAATATCTAAAATAAATTTAGCACTTTGAACTTCGATTGCTCAAAAAGGGACGGACAGTCACAAGGACAACAGACTTCCCGGCTTCCATCCAGTGGACTATGTGAAATTGTAAGTTCAAGTTGCTTAAGATTTGGAAATAGTATAAATTGTGAATTGATAATGTAAAATTGGATTGATAATGTGAAATTGTGAATTGCATTGTGAAATGTGAATTGCAGTGGATTGATAGTATATATTATATTGCACTATGAATTACTAAATTGATCATTGCGAATTGAAATTGTGAAAGTGTGAATTTATGGTCCTTTTGTCATTGTGAATTATTCTCACTCACTCCAGTAATAATTTGATATCAAATATTTAAATCTAGATATTAAATGAATAGATACTTTCAACAAAAAAAGGAATGTAGATAATGTTGATGAGGGAGTATCGAATATTGTGGAATTTGATATCACAAAACTTCCAGCTGATCCTGGTCTAAGGATACCCATTTTAGATTACAATGCTAACATCCGAGATGAAGTTCGAAGAGCATATATGTTAAAGGGTTCTTGTCAGCCCCAAGATCATGACTTTCCAAAACAACAATTTGGAGTAATAATTAGACGATTCAATCCTTCGTAGTTTAAAGAGTTCAGTAGTTGGTTGGAGTATAGTATAGAAAATGATGCAGGTTATAGTTTGTATTGTTATCTTTTCAGAACAAGTTCTCGAGAGCAGGTTGGAGGTGAGTCTTTTGTTGGTGAAGGTTTTACATATTGAAAAGATAAAAAATGTTTCATACTCATGTTGGACTTCTTGATAGTGCACATAATCAAGCTCGTATTAAGTATGAAGTGTTGATGAATTAAGAGCAACACATTTAATCAGTTTTCTACAAACAGTCAGAACAAGCAAGAAGTGCATATGTTACACGTCTTAATGCATCCGTTGATTGTGTTCGAGTTCTTTTGAGACAAGAGCACTCATTTCGAGGTCATGATGAATCTGAGGATTCTCTCAATCTAGGTAACTTCTTAGTGCAATTGTAATTTTTGGCTACTCATAATGAAGTTATTAATGCCGTCACATTGGGAAATGCTCCTCACAATTGCAAATTGACATCACTTGATGTTCAAAAGAATATAGTAAATGCTCGTGCTATTAAAACGATCAATGTTATTATAAAAAATGTCGGCGACTCACTATTTTCTATTCTAGTTGATGAATCTCGTGATGTGTCAATGAAAGAGCAAATGTCTATTGTTTTACATTATGTAGAAAATAGTGGGCATGTCAATAAACGCTTCTTAGGGATTGGACATGTTACAAGCACCACGACTCTATCACTTAAGGCTGCAATTGATAAAGTATTTTCTAGATATAACTTGAGCACGTCTAGATTGAGAAGACAAGGTTATGATGGAGCAAGTAATATGCAAGGTAAGTTTAATGGTCCGAAACACTAATTTTGAATGAGAGTCCATATGCCTTTTACATTAACTATTTTACTCATCAACTCCAACTAGCGCTTGTGGCTGTGGCAAAGAAGAACATCCCTATTACTAACTTCTTTCGTGTGGTTGGTGACATAATAAATATTGTTGGAGTATCTTCCAAATGTTGTGATCTTTTTCAAAAAAAAATAATTAGACTTTATTGTTGAGCATTGAAAATAGGTGAGATTTTAAGTGAACGAGGACTTAATTAAGAAACGACCATTCAGCACTCTGGTGATACATGATGGAGTTTCACATTATAATTCTTTGGTCAGCTTGCTTGCTATGTTCTTTTCTATTTTAGATGTATTTACAATGATTGCTGAAGATGAATCTTATTCTTGTGATAAAAAATCTTATGCAAGAAATTTATTGGAATCGATACAAAAATTTGATTTTCCATTTAATCTACAGTTGATGAGAAGTGTCTTGGGGATGTCAAATGAACTGTCGAAGGCATTGCAAAGGAAGATCAAGATATTTGAATGCAATGCAATTGGTGAGATTGTGCAAACGATGACTCCAAATAATGAGAGACGAAGGGTGGGACTTCTTTTTGGAAGAAATATGTTCTTTTTGTCAACAACATTACATTCATGTACCCAACATGGATGATATGTTTGTACGCCTTGCACTTCGTGGTCGTCCTCAGCGTAATTCGCCAGAAATTACAAATTTACATCGTTACCATAAAAAATTTACATCGTTACAGATTTACAACTTCAAGAATTGAATGATCGTTTCTCGGAGGTAAATAAAGAGTTACTCCTTTGTGTAGCTTGTTTATGTCCACAAGATTCATTTTCTTCTTTTAACAAGAAAAACTTGATTCGACTTGCTGAACTTTATCCATTAGTTTTCTCTACAGTAGATGTCATTGTACTTAACGATCAATTTGAAACTTATATTTTTGACATGAGCTCTGACAAAGAGTTTGAAGTGTTAATGACCTCGGTGATCTTGCGGAGAAGTTAGTTGTGACAAAGAAAGATAAGGTATATCCATTGGTTTACAAACTTTTGACTTTAGCATTAATTTTACCAGTTGCTACTACTACTGTGGAAATAGTATTTTCTGCAATGAGCATCGAAAAAGATAAATTGCGCAATCGGATGGGTGATCAATGGATGAATGATAGCACAATTCTTTATGTAGAGAAAAATATATTTTTGAAACTCAATAAATGAAGTTATTGTATGACGATATCAAAATATAAAAACTCGCAAGGAACAATTTTAATGTATAAATTATGTCATTTTTAGTATTTTTTTGAATTATTTTTTTATTTTTTTTATCATCGTTAAATCCATAACCAAAACCTCGAAGTTCAGCATCGAAAAATGTTGCCCGCACTGAAACAAATCCTGGTCCGCCCCTGTATATATAATATAATGGCGTGTTTTGAAAAATGATTCTCATACATTAACATGCTTTGCATACTTTATAATTCAGTCAAATTTACTTATATAATTTATAAATACTTTTATCATGTTCATTTGATTCATAAAATATGATTTTACCTTATTAGAAAAACAATAAATTATTTCTTTTGACATGTTCAATTGATTCATAAAATATGGTTTTACCTTATTAGAAATACAATAAATTATTTTTTTTGAGCCCTACTATTACAAGTTCTTGATCATGTTTGGCTAAGCTTAAAAAGTTGATTTGCAAGTAAATTTACTTAAAAGTAAAAATAGAATTTTTTTATTAGTGAAAGTTCAAAATGATTTACTTATTTCAAGATTATGGGAAGAATTGGTTTGAGAAAATATTACATTATTACCCAAAAATATGAAGGAAAACTAAGCCCTCGTTTGATGCCATTTACTTGACAAAAGCAAAGTTTAGAAGTTCTTGATCATGTTTGGCTAAGCTTAACAAGTTGATTTGCAAGTAAATTTACTTAAAAGTAAAAATAGAATTTTTTTATCTAGTGAAAGTTCAAAATGATTTACCTATTTCAAGATTATGGGAAGAATTGGTTTGAGAAAATATTACATTATTACCCAAAAATATGAAGGAAAACTAAGCCCTCGTTTGATGCCATTTACTTGACAAAAGCAAAGTTTAGAAGTTCTTGATCATGTTTGGCTAAGCTTAAAAAGTTGATTTGCAAGTAAATTTACTTAAAAGTAAAAATAGAATTTTTTTATTAGTGAAAGTTCAAAATGATTTACTTATTTCAAGATTATGGGAAGAATTGGTTTGAGAAAATATTACATTATTACCCAAAAATTTGAAGGAAAACTAAGCCTTCGTTTGATGCCATTTACTTGACAAAAGTAAAGTTTAGAATAGTGAAATTTTTGTGGATGTGTGATTAAAAAGTAGAAAAAAAATTGATCATACACATAAAGTATTTATTGTGTGAATGTATGGTTGAATATGAGTAGAATAAAAAATTTTGAAATGATGATTGTCAAATAAGAGCTAAATTAGACAAGCATATTTAAAGGATAAAAGTTAAAACTTTCCCTATTATTTTATAATTGCACCACATTTTAATTAAAAGAAATGTTTCTAACATTTGCAATCTTTTGTTTTTATGTCCTCAACTTTTTTTCACTGGATAATCTTCACTTACATAACAAATTTTGTGTCTAATCATGATTTTCATACAAATATTTTGCTAACATGCATTAAAAAGATGGGCAAATATTTTGTTTTAACTTTTGCATTAGTTATTTATTTCGATTATTTAAAAATATGAGAGAACATGATCTTTTCCCCTCATAACAAACATTTTGAGACGATTTTTGGTCTTTATAAACAAGATGTGAAAAAATAATCGAGGGTTAATGATAAATCTTTTTAAAAAAGAAAATGAGAATAATAAGTGTAAAAATAAAAAAAATTAAGAATATTTATTGTAATTAAAAAATTGTGTATATATTTACCTTTCTAATTATCTCTAATATTTAAAATAGAGCCTCGAAATTTAAGGAAATTATTGTCATCATAGAACAAAATGTGATGCATGTGATGATGATAAGGATAGATGTTGACTGTGGTCAACGATTGCGGCTGACAATTTTGGCACTCCCACATGAATATTCCATCTATATGTCTCTACTTTTGAAGAGAAAGGAAGACCAAATTGGTGCAAAGGAGAATGGATAGCCCATGCCTTTATAAGTAAAGATTAGATAAAATCCTATTAGGGGCCTGTTTGGGCCTGATTTTTTCATCTAAAAAATTGATTTTTTGACCGTTATTTTACTATTTCAATCATCATATTTGACTTTTTTTCTCATAGATGGATCCCACTTTTTTTCTAACAGTTAAAAAATCAATTCTCAAAATCACTCCCAAATAGGCTGTAGATTTAGAACGGTGTAGGATATTTGAGTGACAATTGCAACTGTATTATCATATGATTTTAGAAAGAAGAAAGTGACAGTTGACTAGGCAATCCATGTGACTTGTTTGGAGAGAGAAAACAAGCTTTTTTTGTCGGATTGCTTTGTACAGTGCTGTCGTATTGTCTCTTTCCTTCTCATTCTGTCAACAAACTCTTGGGTTATATTATCTATTATATTTATTTTTATTTATGTTATAGATATATTAATTTTGATATTCAAAATTACATAAATATTCACTAATTGAAACATAAGCAGTGATAGCAAACTGTCATGTCCAGTCCGGTCCAATCAGTCTTGCTTCATTTCGCCTTGCTTGAGAATTGGAGTGCTTTGCATTAGAGAAGAAGTAAATATGACAGAAAATTAAGCAAGCATTTGGGTTGCCATTTTCTGTTTTTAGTTTTCGAAAATACCCAAAATGTGTTTGATTTTGTCGTTTTCGAAAATGTATTTCCAAAAATAAGAAAAAATTTATAACTGAAAACTCAAAATGAGTTTTTGCCGTTTTAAGTGTTTTCAGTTAAAAAACTCAAAATGCATAAAATGCTCAAAACAGGCCTTTTTTTTTTTTTTTCCAAGGGATGCTCAACGGTACTTTTAAAATAAAAATATTGTAATCTGATACAATTTAATGAAACATAATAATTTTAAAATCCACAACATTTTTTAATTTCCATTATTTTTTTTTCGTTGATCAAAATTTGGAAGAACTATTATTTCCTTTTTTATTGTCAAGTGACAACAAAATATATCCAGAAGGATGAAGTACAGACTAGCTATTTTCTTTACAACTATTCCTATTTTTGGTCCATAAATTTATTATTTATTATTTTATTTTTGTAGTAAGAAAAAATAGTAAATTCACCAAGTTTAAAAAAAAATATTCTTTAATAATAACATAATTCAAAACTTTGAAAATGTAAAAAATATAAAAAATTAAACGAGACAAAAAGTTGCCTCGCATTCCGAACTCGTCCCGTTGCCATCACTAACATTACAGCATTCAAAACTTGAACTTAACACTCTGATTATAAAGGAAAAAAGAAAATTGACATTTTCTTAGATATGTTTAGTTGCCAACAATTATTATTTTATCAACCAAAACCATTACAAGTGCCTAATTATGAGAGTTTGGTTGCCAGCTACTTTTATTTTATTTTATCCAACCAGAACCATTACAGCTTATTTCTTTATACGAAACCCATTATTTTTATTATTAGCACAGATTTGTTTGTGCTGGCTTTGTACTTGCTTAATCCAATAATTCAAACCTTGAAATTATTGGTAATCATTTACTTATTGTCTGAAAAATATTGAAATAAAGGATTCAATTCAATAATTGAAAGCTTGAAATTATTAGATATTTATTTGTTTATTTATTATTTTTTAAATCTGCACGATAAATATTTAAATAAGTTAAAGCTTTAGGACAAGGAATAAGTGTACCCAAACACAGGCCACAGAATCATACCTTGTGGGCACAGGAGAAAGTGGAGAGACCAATTTTCAAATTTGTAATTTTGTGGCCTGCTGACAATAACAGAACAATTTACCTTCACATGAAGCAATTTTATTTTAAGGAAAATTGGTCTGAAGATTATAGGGTATTTTATTTCCAGATCAGAAATATGATTTGATGAAAATAAATATTATGAAAAATCTTAATTCTAAATCGATTATGTTTTTTTTTTTTTGAAGGTGAACATTAGTCCATTAATAAAATATTTCACTTAAAAGATCACAACTCAAACTCAATTGTATAATTTACCCTTATCAAGGGGAAAAGGAGAGGAGGATGCAAAAGGATTGTTATAAATCTTTGAAGTCATCCATGAGAAAATATTATATTAAAAGTACTTGTTGTAAATCCACCAAATAAGAGCACTCAAATCAATATAAATAGTTTAGGTTGCTCCATGTTTGGTTGATAATAAAGGTTTCTTTTACAAAAAGAAAGTTAATATTTACTTTCTAAAAAAAATAATTTTATATTAACACAAAAAGAACGTTAACAATTATAAACGAAATGAGTTACTTAAAATTTAAATATAAATTAATTTACTTTTAAACACAATCAGACATAATCGCGAGGCAACAATAACACTTTATGAATTAAATATAATTATTGAAAGTGGAATAATGGAAAGTGCTGCAAATTGGTTTTAGGAATGACAAAATTTCTCGTTCCACATCAGTAGCGTCAAACGAGCCTGTCAATTTGAGCGACTCGCAACTCAAATCACAAAAAGCTTGGATTGGCTCGGCTCGAAGCTCGATTGTATGAGTCAAGGCTCGATCGAAGCCTCAAAAATGAGATATGGCCGAAGTCAGCCCACGAGCCGCAAGAGGTCAAATATGGGCCGATATGTATGTGGGCCCGTATGGTCCGCTTTTTAAATTAATTTTGTAGTTAGTAAATTGATGATTTATTTGTATTTTCGATTAAAATAATCTAAAAGCCCATGAGTCGGCTCGAGCCAAAGCAAGGGCCAAGGCCTGTCTTTTGGGGATGAGTCAAGCCTGAGCTTGGCTAGAGCTCAAAAAGCTCAAACATTTTTTTGACGAGCTAATACTGAGTCTCGAGCTTGGATTCACGAGCTGGCTCGGCTCGACTTAATTTGTCTGATCCGAATGAGATGGGGAGATCCTCGCCTTGAATGGTAAACGGGATAAGGACGACGATCATGGTCTTCATCTCGAATTTTTCAAACCCATCCCAAATTGTTTAATTTGTTCAATTTTTATATATTTTCTAAATTTAGATCATATTTTAAAAATAAAAC